ACAGAGGAAGTAGATCGTCAATCACCATTGGCTCAAATGGCATAATTTTCCAAGCAAAAGAGCTGTCTGAATCTAAAACACTCTTTCTTCAGCAATCAGACATGGTATTCATCGTGGACGACTTTAACCGTGAGTAAAGGAGCACTGTTCTGGAAAAGAATTCCGAAAATGTTTTTATTGATTACAAATTTTATTCAACAGCCATATATCTTGCGATCGAACCCTTCACTCTTTTCACCGAAAGCTCACCGACCAATTGTCCTGCACCAGAAAGCAAAACTCACAATGCAGATCGGATTGTGAAGCAAAAAAATCTTCAGCATGAATAATTCAGACATTTATTTCGAAAGCAGAAAATTCATTCAGCGGATTTTAAAGCAAAGTTTATTCATATATTCTTTATAGTATAAGGTGGAAAATAATGAAAAGAAACAGGAACTCAGTAATTATAATTTTCCTTCCTACTTTCGGAAAACTGTTACCAAAATCAAGATTTCAGCAATGTTGAGTTGAAATGTTCATTTCAAGGTCAACCTGGGTTCAATCCTTCCACGGAAGAACGAGTTCTTGTGAAACTTGATGCTCCATAAAAGGCTGGGTTTCTCATGACGTCTTTGATTTATTTGCTTATTTTATGCTGATTGACTCTCATTTCCTAGTTACTTGTGAGGAAGTTGCGCTTGGCCTCAAATATCATTGAGCACTCTTGCAGTTTCCGAATGCGATAAGAAAATTTGCTCGGTCAATAAAACAAAATAAGAGACGGACTTTGTTTATGAAAATACAGTATATAAAAATGCGTGAAAAGAAGTCTTCTCGGTATTTCATGAGGATGGTCCAGTAACAAAAGCCATCATTCCTTGATCACATCCGTAAAAAAACTGAATTTTTTCATGGTGCATTCAAAATTTTTTTTTCAATGCCAAAAAGACGGCAAAGTTTTAATTCGGCAGCGGGAAAAAAAAAATCCGAGTTTTTTATTCTTTCTGTTTCCATGATGCGAAGATTTTCTTTCATTATTCAGCTTTCAAGTAAAAAACCTGGATAACTTTTAGAATTTTTTAATGTTTCGTACGATCGGGCATTAGTTTTTCCGAAGTTTGTGCTCTGCATGGTTAACATAATTTCCAGAAAATTTGTGCGTAGAAAAAAATGCAGTAGAAAAAAAAATGAAACGTTCTCACTTCGAAAAACTGTTTCAACGAAAATTAAAGCGAATGTGATCTGATGTTTTCTTTTTTTTTTATTCTGGTGATCGCAAGTAATTTGAGGAAACTTATTGAAGAACTATGTGAAAAAGATGAAATGTTTTTCGATTCTGTTTTGAACAGTATAGAGCCGGTTTCCAAAGGTGAGAATAATCATTATTTTGAAAACCCTTTAAAAACTCATCTACATTAAAAATTGATGATGAGCATGATTTGAAATTCACACAAAACGTTCCCTTATTTCCATCTTTCAAAAGTGGAAGCAAATTTT